TGCAGAGTTGGTGAAGTTGCCAGAGCCCACAGGGCTGCCAGGGCTGTGGGCAACAGAGCCCAGTGGCCAGGGAGAGGAGCCCAACAGGGAGGTTTTCCCTCTCCTCCCTTGATCCAGCAAGCTTCCTTGTCTGGGACTGGTCAGGTCCTGAGGGTGTCAGACCAAGGAAGTCCAACCTGTACGTCAGAGTGTTATGTTTTCTGAAAGGACCCGATCCTGAGTTGTAACCTTCCAGCGGTATGCAAGAGTCTTTGGAGACAAAAGACTTAATCATTACTATGGCCAGGTCTATACTAGACCCGGAAAGTCAGCTTAAAGAGCTGCAACTCCAGCTACGTAAATAACATAGCTCAAGTCGACGTACCTTAAGCTGAGCTTGATGCGATCTTCACACTCCTATCAGTTTCCCTTACTCCTCATGACTGCAAGGAATACTGACACAAACCAGGGGAGCCCTCAGCACTCGATTTAGTGGGTCTTTACTAGATCCTCTAAATCGAACACCAGAAGATCGATCTCTGGTATAGCAAGTAGAGACATGGCCTATGAGTGTCCAGTGAGAGAGACTGGGCACTGCATTGAGGCAATAAAGGCTGGCAGAGCTGAGCAGATTGTTTGGGTGGCTAACAGACTGGGGTGACAAGGGACTGACACCAAGTTTAGCACCAGCAAATCTCTCTCTCTCAGAGGGAAAGGAAGGTATCAGAGGACTAGTGATACTTATATGGAGCTAACCTGCATCCACAGTACAGAGTAGCCATGTTTGAACATCTCAGCTGCTAACAAATTTTAGCCTGCACACCCAATGGACCAGCTATCTGGAGTTAAATCACCACCGCACTTAATTACAAGTGTGTATATGTGGACGGGAGATATGTTTGGAGCACTACTCGAGTAAAGATTTGTCATCACTGCAAAGTTAAGAGGACAAGCCTCACTAAGTTGACTAATGTCTCTTAAGTTACATATTTTTTAATAGCCCAGCCTCAGCTATGTACCCAAACCAAAACTTACTATTAGTAGGCACTGACTTCATACATATGCAAGCCTGTCATGCATTCCTCTATTGCCTGTGCATGAGCGCGCTGCAGGGGATGGCTATTAACAAGCATCCTGCTGCGAATTACAATTTTGGCGTGGTGTTTAAAAGGAAAATGTGTATCTGTTCTTTCTTCTCCTTTCCTTAAACCAGAGCTGCATCAGGCAAAAATGAATGAGCCTTACAGAGCAATTTAAAAGAGATTGCATGACATTTCCTGATTGATTATTTCCCATTTAACATAAAGAAAAGAAGGTAACATATACTAGCTCCTTCCACAGCTTAAAGATTTGCAAAGCAAACCTATTAGAAATACTAATAGGCAGAATAATACACCACAGTATCATAATCTAACATCTATAGTCCCTAAACAAGTGTTTCCTGAACTGTGGTCCACAAACCAGTAGCTGTCTATGGAATGCCTACTAGCCACATAGTGCTACTCTCCTCTATTTCTTCAGCTGCTATACTGCACTCAAAAGAAACTGAAGTAAAATTAGGAAACTAATGTACTTTCCCACGTAAACAATTGCTGCAGATATAGGAGGGGTGTTATTTGATTAGCAACAACAGGGAGGTGGCCCATGACCATCGTGAACAGGAAAGGAAGGTAGTGACCAGACAACTCTCTTTAGATGTGCTTTGAACAGTTTCAGATTCCCCCTTCTCCGAACTCTGTGTTTTTCTAGAAAAATAAGCAATTTCCTGAGTTTATATGAGTTATAAACAAGCCTATATGTCTTCAGACATAAATATTCATGTATTACTGCTGGGAGCCAAGAAGCCTCTCTTTGTTTCTTTCTGAATTTTTAATATTGAGCTATATTTTAGTTACAATCCTTTTTGGTCTGTTCACTAATGTTATTGTGTGTTTAAAATGCAGTGACATCCATTTCACCTTGCCACAAAATTTTAATCTAAATATTCAATATCTTTTTTATCTGGATGTTACCAATTTTATGCAGCTCAGTTTCAATTTTGCATTTTCACCAACCAACAGCGGAGGTTTTTTAAAAGAACAAGATTTATTTACAGCACTACAAGAGCCCGTTTGAAAAAAATAGTGGAGAATTTAAATAAGATCAGGATTTATCCATTTGAAGATGCAAATGAAAAAGCCTACATTTCAAAAACAATGTAAAATCAATTAATTGAAAACTTAAGTATTTGAAGTCAGCAAAGAATCTTTGAAGATGCTGAGAAAGTGTCCACTGTTAACAACTGAGATGAGATTACTGACTCACTTCACAAAGGGCATCCTTACACTAGAACCTTTAACTAAAGTTAGCGTACTGCTAAAAAACTCAGGTTAGCCAACACATCCTAGCCTTGGCATTTCACAAACATTTGTTCCACAACACAAATTGTCTACCCTTTACCTAATGCAAATGGACAGACATTTGTACAGTGTCCAGAATAATGTATATAAATGAGTTTGCTGATTAACTTGTTAGCTATCAGTTATCTCAAGTTTGAAAATCTAGTATAGATGAACACATAGTTCATCAAACTGTTAACTTGGGTCACAGACAGTCCAGATTTCAATCAGTGACAGAGGATGGACTCCATATAACCCAGCCTCCAAACCATGTCCCTCTTTGTAAAAGCATTTTTAAGCCCAAGTCTACATATGGATTAATTTCCCAGCTACTTTCTTAGCCTATTAAACCTTTATTATTTCAGCTGTTTAGTAACAAAGTATGGCAGGAGACCATCTTGAATCAACCAGGAGATGTTATAGGATCTAAAAATCAAAAGAGTCATATAAAAAGTGGAAGCTAGTCAAATTACAAAGGATGAATACAACCAAACAACGTAGGTATGCATGGGCAAAGGCACAAAATAAGCTAAATCTAGCTAGAGACATAAAGGGTAACAAGACAACATTCTACAAATATATGAGAAGCAAAAGTAAGACCATGGACAGCATAGGCCATTGCTAAGTGAAGCGGGAGAAACAATAAGAGGAAACTTGAAAATGGCAGAGGTGCTTAATGACTTCTTTCTTTCATTTTTGTCAAGAAGATGGATGCCTAACATAATGAATGCTAGTGAAAATGAGGTAGGTTTAGAAGTTAAAATAAAAAAAGAACAAGTTAAAAATTATTCAGAAAAGTTGGATGTCTGCAAGTCACCAAGGCCTGAGGAAATGCTCAAGAAGCTGATAGAGGAGGTACCTAAGCATTTAGCTATCATCTTTGAAAAATCATGAACATCAGGAGACATTCTAGAAGCCTGAAAAAGGGCAAATATAGTGCCCACTTATAAAAAGGGAACTATGAATAACCCAGGAAACTACAGACCAGTCAGTTTAACTTCTGAGCGAGGGAAGATAATGCAGAAATTAATCAAGGAATCCATCTGAAAACATCTGGAAGAAAATAAGGTGATAGGTAAGAGTCTGCATGGATTTGTAAAGAATAAATCATGTCAAACTAATCTCACTGCTTTCTTTGATAGGATAAGAAGCCTTGCGGATAAGGGAGAAGCAGTGGACATTGTATAGCTAGACTTTAGTAAGGCATTTGATACAGGCATTTGATGACCTTCTTATCAATTAGGGAAAAACTTAGATGGGGCTTCTATAAGGTGGGTGCATAACTGGCTGGATAACCGTCCTCAGAGAGTAGTTATTAACGGTTCACAATCATGCTGGAAGGGCATAACAAGTAGGGTTACGCAGGGGTCTGTTTTGGGACCATGTCTGTTCAATATCTTCATCAATGATTTAGACAACAACATAGAGAGTACAATTATTAAGTTTGCAGATGATACTGAGCTGGGAGGGGTTGCAAGTGCTTTGGAGGATAGGGTCAAAGTTCAAAATGATCTGGACATACTAAATAGTCTGAGGTAAACAGGATGAAGGACAAATGCAAAGTACTCCAATTAGGAAGGAACAATTAGTTTCACACATACAGAATGGGAAGTGATTGTCTAGGAAGAAGTACTGCTGAAAGAGATTTAGAGGTCATAGTAGACCACAAGTTAAACACAAGTCAACAGTGTGACACGGTTGCAAAAAAAGCAAACATGATTCCGGGATGCATTAACAGGAGTGTTGTGAGCAAGACACGAGAAGTTATTCTTCTGCTCTACTCTGAGCTGATTAGGCCCCAATTGGAGTATTGTGTCCAGTTCTGGGCACACATTTCAAGAAAGATGTGGAGAAATTGAAGAATGTCCAGAGAAGAATAACAAAAATCATTAAAGGTCTAAATATCATGAGCTATGAGGGAAGGCTGAAAGAATTGGGCTTGTTTAGTTTAGAAAAGACAAGACTGAGAGGGGACATGTTAGCGGTTTTCAAGTAATTAAAAGGGCGTTACAAGGAAGAGGGAGAAAAATTATTCTTCTTGGCCTCTGATGACAGGACAAGAAGCAATGGGCTTAAATTGCAGCAAGAGAGATTTAGGTTGGACATTAGGAAAAGTTTCCTGTCAGGGTGGTTAAACACTGGAATAAACTGCCCAGGGAGGTTGTGGAATCTCCATCACTGTAGATATTTAAGAGCCGGTTGGACAGACATCTATCAGGGGTGATCTAGACAGTGCTTGGCGCTGCTGTGAGGGCAGGCGACTAGATTCAATAACCTCTTGAAGTCCCTTCCAGTTCTAGGATTTTATGAACATGCTCAGATCTCTGAAGTGACATACATTCACCAAAAGATATAAAGCAATTATCTTCCTACTTTTATTTCCTTTAGAAATCTCTAAATTCCACTGTCTAGTCAATCTACCTCCCTCTCTACCTCCCACTACTTCATCTTAAAGCTGAAACACAGGCAAAATAGACACCACAAGCATGTGTTATTTATGGACAGCTTTGAGAGAAATGTAAAACAATGGTACACAAATAGAATACGACTGCTGTTATTAAATTCATTAATTTCCATATTATACTATTCATCCCTTACTCCAGTTATATTAAAAAATGCTATTTATTTCCCATTATTATTTACCTTAGAATTACCTTCCGTGTGGTATTTGGCACAGGATCGGAGCTGAGTCACCCAGTATTGTTTTTCCTTTGCATCCGCAGCTAGAACAGAAACAAAAGAGTGCAGGGATTGCATATAAGCCAACTGACATTACAGAAAAGGGAATGTTTTAAACTGTTATCAAGTGTGGGAAAGTAACGTACCTAAGTCTATTTATTGCACATAAAGCCTTATAAAAATGCATTAATCTAAACCAATTCATTGAAATCAGTAAAATTTTCCCAGAGACAAGGATTAAGCCATACCGTGACTGAAGAAAGAAGAGAAACAACTTTTTTCCCCCACAGTATTCATCAATATGGTGCAGTGAAAACTCTTATTTATTAAAATATAATGACTTTGTGAATGAGATTTTTCTAATATTTGCTCCCAAATAAAGATGATCTAAAATAATCAATTTAATTATTTTTATTTAGCAGTGGAAAAGATGGAATAAGATACATACAGGATGAAACTCTCTTAACTGGGACTCTGGTCCAGCAACATCCGTGATTCGGCAGGACCAGAGAGTCCCAGTGGAGGGCTAGTGCCAGAGACCCCTGCAATCCGGCAGGGCAGCAAGGCTCCCCAGCAGGGCAGCAGGACTGCCTGGAGTGGCAGCAGGAGCCAATCTCTGCAGTAGGAACCCGACATGCAGAGGCAGCAGGGCTGCACAGCCCAACACTGAGAGCCCAGTGCGCGAAGGCTGCGGGGAGGCCGGGTGCTGCAGCAGGAGTCTGGTACATGCACAGGCGGTGGAACTGCCTGGCATGGCAGTGGGAGCCCGGAAAGCAGAGGCAGCAGGAGCCCAGCGAGCCGAGGTGGTGGGGCTGCTTGGTAGGGTAGCAGGGGCAGATAGCACAGTGGGGCCAGAGAGGGGAGAGAGCATCAGTTGGGCCAGGGCTGGAGGGGGCTGGCAGCAGAAGGGCCAGAAATAACCACCCCTGGTCCAGCAAAATCCCACATCTGGGACGGGTCAAGTCCCAAGGCTGCTGAACTACAGAGGTCCAACCTGTACTTGTTTTTCAATGCATGCAATTAAATAATTAGCTGCATAGAATATACTTTGGCAGGTTCTTTTGGGACCTTAAAAAGTTGCCCTTTTTTCCTCCTCCTTTCTGATGTATAAAAGAAGCCTAAAAAATTAAAATGAATGGGTTTAGAGGGGAGATGTGCTTTGTTTGGTTGTTTTTTTAAGAGGGTTTTTATACTGGAAAGCTGGACCACTTTAAACTACCCGGGCTCGTCTACACTGGCCCCTTTTCCGGAAGGGGCATGTAAATTTCATGAGTCGTAGTAGGGAAATGCGCGGGGGATTTAAATATCCCCCGCGGCATTTAAATAAAGTAGGGAAATCCGCGGGGGATTTAAATATCCCCCGCGGCATTTAAATAAAAATGTCCGCCGCTTTTTTCCGGCTTTTAAAAAAGCCGGAAAAGAGCGTCTACACTGGCCCCGATCCTCCGGAAAAAGCGCCCTTTTCCGGAGGCTCTTATTCCTACTTCAAAGTAGGAATAAGAGCCTACTTCAAAGTAGGAATAAGAGCCTCCGGAAAAGGGCGCTTTTTCCGGAGGATCGGGGCCAGTGTAGACGCTCTTTTCCGGCTTTTTTAAAAGCCGGAAAAAAGCGGCGGACATTTTTATTTAAATGCCGCGGGGGATATTTAAATCCCCCGCGCATTTCCCTAGTACGACTCATGAAATTTACGTGCCCCTTCCGGAAAAGGGGCCAGTGTAGACGTAGCCCCCTAGTACGATCCTCCCGTAGTATAGATGCAGTTATATCTGTGTAAAGGTGCTATATACTGGCACAGCTATTTCCATAAGAGAATTGGAATACATATACTGAAAGAAACCAGCATAGCTGTATTCTCACTAGGGTCTGCAACAGTTGGACTACATGGGTAAAAAGTAGAATAAATGAAAATGTGACTAAAAATCTCTGGAAAAAGTCCCAATGTGCTGCCTGGATACATTGAAAAGAAACAAAAAAAAGGGCACAAGCTCAATTTTTCTCCCCTTTGAATAACCACCTTTGAAATTATTGGAAAATAATGTTTATAATTTATATCAGTATGAATTCTGTAAGAGCTACAGTGTATTAAATGTATAATTGTTACGATATATCAACTACTAAAAATTCTTATTAGCAAACCACTTTGAGTTCACCATTAAATGTAGTATAAACATTAAGAACACAAATACAAAACTATAATCTGAGCTCCTGCAGTTTGTAATGGCAATTCAAATTATCAAATTAATTTTAATGATAAAGAAACAGAAAAGAATATTTTAAGTTTCTCATCAACAATTTTGCCAATATAACAATTCAAGTATAAGCAGCATGCTGTTGTATATAATCTTGTAAAGCTCACTCAGTAGGCAGAGCATTGCAGAAGTTATGAATACATTAAACTTAACTGTTCAAAAAAACTAATGTTTCATTGACAGAAACTTCCTTTTACTGCTCTGCTTCATGTCCAAACGTCTATGCAATTTAAATTCTGAGTTCCAATCTATGTATCTTCAATAAGGTTTCTGTTTGCATTTCAGAAGATTCTATAATATTATGGCTAGCTACTTGGTGGTTAAATTGTTAAATCTAGGCTCATTGTTACCACATTTTATTTTAAATACAAGTATATTGGACTGAGAATTGCCATACATCAAACCAACCAAGAATACTACACCATGCATATATCATAGTCGTAACACATAACAGTAGAGTGTATGATTTCCTTTGGAAATATACTAAATTGCAGGTTATTTTCCCCTATATTGTTTAGCATGCAGCAAGATGACCATAATCAAAATACAGTAAAACTCCAATGGTCCAGAATCTGATGGTCCGGTACTCCTGATGGTCCGGCACCATCAGGAACCTGGAAGTGCTCTGGGCAGCCGGACCATTGGAGCTGCTCTGCCCGCAGGTTCCCCGATTCAGCTGCTGCTAAAACTGACCAGCGGCTGACTCCAGGAAGCCCGAGGCAGAGCTGCTGGAGTGCTGCTGGGGAGGGCCCCGCACGCCGCCCCCC